GCGGCCGGGGCCGGCTCCTTCCTGGGCTACTGGGCGCTCATGCTCACGCTCTACTGGGTCGGGGTGCGGAGGATCTGCCGGCGCCGGGCGGGGGGCTACCGCGTGCAGGTGTGAGTCCGGGGGCGCGGGGGCTGGCCCAGGTGGGGCATGCACGCGAGAGGAGACACCGACCGCGCCCCAGGAGCCACGAACTTGCTGGGGTGTGGAGGGCGGGGGGAGTTCTCTGGGCCTCAGTTTCCCTCTTCTATGAAGTGAGGGGAGGGGGTGGTAAACTCAAGATTCTTCAGCCTGGACTGTTCTGGGGCTGGGACTTCTGGGTCTCTGGGGGAGGGGGGGTATTTATTGATCAGGGTGTGATTTTTAGGGGCATGGGGTGGGGAAGGGGTCCCCACCTTCTCCCTGCTCTTATTTAATCTCCATTTGTACTGTGTGATTAGGTTGTAATAAAAGTTTTTATTTATTTTCTTCCGAACCTCTCTCATTTTGTTGTCAATGAAGGGGGGGCTGGGTGGTTGAGAATTGGGGACTTGTGGCTCAGCCTTGAAGGGAAAGGGAGAGAGAGAGAGAAACGTCAATGATGAGAGGCATCATTGATGGGCTGCCTCCTGCAGCCCGGGGACCCTTCAGTCCGCAGGCCGACGCTCTACCCACTGAGCCAAACCAGCTAGGACTCCAGCTTTTTAAAAAAACAAAAACATTTTTTATTGATTTCAGAGAAGAAGGGAGGAGAGAGATACATAAACATCAACTATGAGAGAGAATCATTGATCAGCTGCCTCCTGCACTGGGGAATGAGCCTGCAACCAGTTGAACCGTGACCTCCTGGTTCATAGGTCCACGCTCAACTACTGAGCCACACTGGCCAGGCCCAGCTGTTTGAAACCAGACAGGATAACCTCCTTTCTTGGAGTCTCAGTTCCCTCGAGAGAAACAGGACTATTCACCCTACGGATCAGGGTTGTGAGCGTGGGATCTCTCAACTCCTCATTCAGATACTAAAGGAGCACCCACTACATGCGGACACTTAGCCTCTGTGCGTGGTTTTTCCTGGTCCACTCAGTCTACTCCCTAAGAAGGGCAACTCAGCCCTAGCTGGTTTGGCTCAGTGGGTAGAGCATCGGCCTGCGGACTGAAGGGTCCCAAGTTCGATTCCGGCCAAGGGCACATGCCCAGGTTGCAGGCTCAATCCCCAGTGTGGGATGTGCAGGAGGCAGCTGATCAATGATTCTCTCTCAGCATTGATGTTTCTATCTCTCTCTCCCTCTCCCTTCCCCTCTGCAATCAATAAAAAAATATTAACAAAAAGGGCAACTCACACCTTCTCTCCTCAAAACTCCCGCTCCTCCTCACCTTCTCACTGCGAAAACAGACAGAAGTGATGAGAAAGCCCTTCAAGTCCTCACCCCCATGACCCTCACATAGCTGCATCTGTGCCCGCACAGGCCACCCTCCCCCTCATCACTGAGGGTGACCTGTCTGTGCTCAGTGCCAACCCCTTTCACTTGACATGCTTTCTTTTTAAAAAATATGCTTTGCCCTAACCAGTTTGGCTCAGTGGATAGACTGTCGGCCTGCAGACTGAAGGGTCCCAGGTTCGATTCCGGTCAAGGGCATGTACCTTGGGTGCAGGCACATCCCCAGTAGGGGATGTGCAGGAGGCAGCTGATCGACGTTTCTCTCCCATCGATGTTTCTAACTTTCTATCCCTCTCCCTTCCTCTCTGTAAAAAATCAATAAAATATATTTTAAAAAATATGTCTTTAATTGATTTTAGAGAGATAAGGGAGAAACATCAATGGGCTGCCTCCTGCACGCCCCCTACTGGGGATCAAGCCCGCAAGCCGGGCATGTGCCAGGACTGGGTATCGAACCAGCAACCTTTTGGTGCACAGGAGGACGCCCCACCAACGGGGCCACACCAGCCAGGGCCTGACAAGCTTTCTTCACTCGGCTTTCAGAATGCCAGCTGCCTCACTTTCCACTTCCCTTCTGGATTCCTCTTAATGTTGCCTCCTGCGTAACAGAGAAACTTACCATCTTCTTGTCCAGCGACACTCATTTCCTCCGTGCACCCGGTCCCGTGGTGCCGAAGGCCTCCTGCACGCTCCCTGCCTGGAAAAGGGACTCTGGAATTTTTATCTTCAGATCAGCCCTCGCCCCCTGAATTCCAGACTCGCCCTCAGATTCTGTTATCCATACAGTGAACACCAAATAAAATCATCACCTTCCTTGACTCAAAAAGGACCCATGAGCTCACACAGAGGAAAATCCAGACCTTACAGTGGCCCAAGTCCTGCGTGACCTGGTCCTGGTGCCACCCATGACCTCACCACATCCTCATTTCCTACAGCCTTGCGCCAGCTGCACGGGCCTCCATGCCAACCCC